TAAGAGGCGAGAAAGATGCCAAGAAGTTAAGTTTCCCAAACAGAACAATCTTCCAAATAACGCTGGTACGCTTGTATCTAAATTTGAAATTCGGCAGTAAAAAAGTCAAATGATTTCAAGAAGCTGTATATAATGACACTGCAAGTAAAGCCCACACACACACACACATATGGGGGGGGAGAGGGTGCGCATGCGCGCAAATATGACATACGCATGTAGATACTCTTGTATACATACACATATAACTGTATTTATATACAGTATATATAATGTATATATGAGTGATAAAACACTTTGTCATGTTTGATGGTATGATAAAAAAAACAATGCAACTTATCTCGTTTGTGAATTTTTTACCATATATATTGTATGTGACACACCCACACACATACGCGGCGCGCGCGCGCGCGGGTCGGTAAATGTGTATGGCTCATGTTGAAAAAATAATTTGAGTAGCCACAAGATGAGAACCTACTCGAAGAGATATGAGCTACGAAGAAATATACAGTAAATAGGTCTTACTACTCTGGAAAAAATTGAAAAAGACGTGACATGATAACGGTGTTCAACTATATTACAGAATGTGTGAGGTTAGACTCTAGTTTTGTGTGACTCTAGTTTTGAACACAAGAAGGACGAGAGGACACAGCAAGAAGTTGGAAGTGATAAGAGGCGAGAAAGATGCCAAGAAGTTAAGTTTCCCAAACAGAACAATCTTCCAATAACGCTGGGTACGCTTGTATCTAAATTTGAAATTCGGCAGTAAAAAAGTCAAATGATTTCAAGAAGCTGTATATAATGACACTGCAAGTAAAGCCCACACACACACACACATATATATAATATAGATATATGTGTGTTCTTACCTATTTTTTTTTCAATACGGGAAAAGAGCTAAGCTCAGATGGTTCCGTCTGCTGTATTTAAATTATCATATAACTTTTTTTAATTGATGCATCAATTAAAAAAAGTTATATGATAATTTAAATACAGCAGACGGAACCATCTGAGCTTAGCTCTTTTCCCGTATTGAAAAAAAAAAAAATAGGTAAGAACACACATATATCTATATTATATATATGTGTGTGTGTGTGTGGGCTTTACTTGCAGTGTCATTATAGACAGCTTCTTGAAATCATTTGACTTTTTTACTGCCGAATTTCAAATTTAGATACAAGCGTACCAACCTGTCTTTTCAGCTCGTTAACACGCATGCGCGACCCCATCGCCAAATAGGTAAAATGCAAAATACTTGTATTTTGTAACATTTAATTTGACCATGTACGATGTATTTAAAAAGGTATTTTATAATGACGCGTACTGTGTAATCTTATACAGTGAAAACGGTTTAAGATTATATAGAAAGGTATAACTTTATTTGTAAGCTCAGAAGAGTCAATAAAACGTAATACAACTGACATCAAAAGCTGCACTGATAAATGGACGATAAATGATCGTTTTAATTTCTGTACGTGCCTTACATTTATAGTTTAACTTGTATAAGACTTCTTATGATTATTCTTTAAGAAGCAAAAAGAATTTACGAAAATTATAGATATACTACATGTGATTTTGATAATCATTTAGAGGCAGGTAGATGAATAAACACATACGAAATAAAATACATACGAATTTGTACATTTTCACAGGCAAGTGATCCTTCGAATATAGCTCTACAAGTACTTAAATATTACAAATTCTTTTGTTTTCCATATAAATTACATCAATGACATATGATAATAATGATGATAACTATCATAATAGTAATAATCATAATTATTATCGTTATTATTATCATTACTAATGATATAATTATAACTCAAATGATAAAAACAATAAGTATTTCATTTCTAAACCAAGTTTGTATCAAACCCAGCAGGTCAAGAGATTCCTCTCGATATCCGTCTAATAGCGAAATATAGCAGGAATAATCATCGTAATAAATGAATTAGCACATTTTGAATGTCTGATCTCGTATTATAATCATTATCATCACTATTATTGTTATTATCACTGCTGTTATCTTTGTCATTGTTATCAGTTTTATTGTCTCATCATTTACCCTTTATAATGGTCACGTCAACACTTTGTGAATGATAACTTTAACAATATCGATATAGCATGGTAGGGATGTGGAAGTCAGCTAAGTAACTTATGCAAATGCAGATAAATGGTTGTTTTTAGGACAATTCCGTTATAACCCGCAATTCTAGTATGTGGTGTGCCATTGAGTGCAAGTCATTCATAACTTAGCTACCATATTAATTATGTTATTTCTTGTTTATGTAAGCATCCCGATGGGCCACGGGACGTTCTGTGTATGAGACGGCTGGTTCTGTTCAAGCGGCACGACAGTTTGACTCGCTAGTTTCTCGTACGCCCGACAACGCCGATGCTCCACCCACGCGACTTGAAATAATTGCATCTGGCGCTGCCGATAAAGCCTTGTAAATAAATAAATAAATATGTGCGTGTGTGTGTGCGCGTGTGCGGGTGTCCGTACGCGTGCGGGTGTATGTGTGCGTGCGTGTGCGTCCGTGCGTGTGTGTGTGTGCGTGCGTGCGTGCTGCGTGTGTGTATATGTGTGTGTGTGTGCGGGTGTCCGTGCGCGGGCGGGTGTGCATGCGCGTGCGCGCGTGCGTGCGTGTGTGTGTGTGTGCGGGTGTGTGTGTGTGTGTGTGTGTGTGTGTGTGTGCGCGTGCGTGCGTGTGTGTGTGTGCGTGTGTGGGTGTCCGTGCGCGTGCGGGTGTGCATGCGCGTGCGTGCGTGTGTGTGTGTGTGTGCGTGCGTGTGTGTATGTGTGTGTGCGTGTGCGTGTGTGTGTGGGTGCGTGTGTACAGACCCAATCGTGATTACATTTTTTAGGAACATGGGTAAATTGCCAAGCACACCGTGTGGATGAAACAGCATTTCAGTCCTCTCTGACTTGATGGTCCCACGAAGACGGAGAATTAGAAAAATAACAATGCTGTTTAATGATAAAGAAATGCTTTTAAAAATACATTTAATCATACGTAAAAAAAAAAGACTCATATTGAACTCGTTATTAAAAGGCATCTCCCTGTGTTGAGGTTTATAAGAGAGCGGGGTCAAATTTAATTTATGATACATCTCTAGCCCGTTTTTTTTTTCATCCTAATCATAAAAACTGGGATAATATTAAAATCCAGGTTATTTGGCAATTTTAATCTTCCACTATATTCCTGAAGGCCAATGACAACTTCAAGGGGAAAAAAATGTTCTCGTTTTTTTCTAAAATGTCAGTAACCGAACCCGAAACAGTATTTTAATTTTACTCAAAAATAATTCGCAAAAGAAAAAACGTCCATAAAATAATGTTAATTTTCCAATAATATGCAAAGAAAAAAGTTTATAAAACAATGTTAATTTCCCAATAGATTTGGATTCCGCCCCTCCGCCTAAAATAATTTGTGCTCGCGGTAATCAAAATGTTCTCGCTTTTTCTAAGATGTCAGTTACCAAACCCGAAACAGTATTTTAATTTTACTCAAAAATAATTCGCAAAAGAAAAAACGTCCATAAAATAATGTTAATTTTCCAATAATATGCAAAGAAAAAAGTTTATAAAACAATGTTAATTTCCCAATAATATGCAAAGAAAAAAGTTAATAAAACAATGCTAATTTCCCAATAGATTTGGATTCCGCCCCTCCGCCTAAAATAATTTGTGCTCGCGGTAATCAAAATGTTCTCGCTTTTTCTAAGATGTCAGTTACCAAACCCGAAACAGTATTTTAATTTTACTCAAAAATAATTCGCAAAAGAAAAAACGTCCATAAAATAATGTTAATTTTCCAATAATATGCAAAGAAAAAAGTTTATAAAACAATGTTAATTTCCCAATAATATGCAAAAAAAAAGTTAATAAAACAATGTTAATTTCCCAATAATATGCAAAAAAAAAGTTAATAAAACAATGCTAATTTCCCAATAGATTTGGATTCCGCCCCTCCGCCTAAAATAATTTGTGCTCGCGGTAATCAAAATGTTCTCGCTTTTTCTAAGATGTCAGTTACCAAACCCGAAACAGTATTTTAATTTTACTCAAAAATAATTCGCAAAAGAAAAAACGTCCATAAAATAATGTTAATTTTCCAATAATATGCAAAGAAAAAAGTTAATAAAACAATGTTAATTTCCCAATAATATGCAAAAAAAAAGTTAATAAAACAATGCTAATTTCCCAATAGATTTGGATTCCGCCCCTCCGCCTAAAATAATTTGTGCTCGCGGTAATCAAAATGTTCTCGTTTTTTTCTAAAATGTCAGTAACCGAACCCGAAACAGTATTTTAATTTTACTCAAAAATAATTCGCAAAAGAAAAAACGTCCATAAAATAATGTTAATTTTCCAATAATATGCAAAGAAAAAAGTTTATAAAACAATGTTAATTTC